ACAAGTTCAGTAAAGGGTTCCTTGGGGCCTTGAAGGATAAGTAAGAAGGACTGCACAGGAGTCCTATCCTCTGGAATAGTTGCCCATGCCCTTTTCAGTAAATCTGCCAATTGTGAATATAGCTCATCAGGACCTTGGAGCTGATTCCAAAGGAACCCATAATGTCCTTTCCCAGAAAGCATCTCCTCATTTATTTCCAGATGTGGATTAGGACCTATTCTGTTTCTGTGAGCCTGCTCTGAAACAAGACTTTGAAACTACACATCAAAATGAAGAAATTGAGCAGGAGACAGGCATGTTTGTGCTAGATGCCTGACATCATATGGTGTCAATTGATATATATCCAAAACATTCTGTAGAACTCCTACTATAAATGGGCTCTGAACCCCAATATTGACAACACTTTAAGATTTTTTTTTTTTTTTAGGGTCTGAATTTCAAAAAGAAAATGAGAAACAATCTTCTATTATGACCGGTTTTTTTTTTTTTTTTTTTTTTTTCTGGGTTCCAACTGAAAAGCAAGCAGTGGTGCCAATGATTTCTCCTTTTGCAGCTGCTTGTTCCTTTAAAATCTGCAAATGTCTAGATAGAGCCATATAGGATATTCTTTTGAAAGGTCCCTGCTCCTGCCTAGGTGTCTCTGCTGCTCTTTTGTTTCCTCTGCATCTGAGTCAGAGGCTATCAGTTTTAAGCTCTGCAATGGACTTACAACTGAATGAACTAGGTTCCAAGTTGAAAATGTCTGAGGGGAAATGACTTTTCAGGTACTGTGTGCCTTTCTAAGATTTTTTTCCAACTTTTTTCCAATTATCAATATCTACAGTGCCTGTCAGAGGAAACATGAATTATATTTAGTTATTTCTTGTAACAGTTTTGTTGGGTCTTTTTTTGTCATGTGAGCCCCTGAGTATTTAAGCAGACTTTGGAATGGCTTTATGCATCTTTGCTCTTCAGTGGAAAATTTTTGGCCCGTTTTACTCCCAGATAAAAATGGCTTATTCACAGTGGGAAGACTTACCCCTATTCCTTGTGGAATGGTTCTCTTCCCTGCATTTTCCAGGCATCCCTGGTGAAGGTTTCATCCTGTGAAGGCCTTCTCCATCTCCCACACTTTCTACTCTAGGTAGACATACTTAATCAGGTTAAAAAGTTCCAGTCCAAGAACTATATGTCCTTGTTCAGGTGCAAGTTATCAGGTTAATAATATCCCTCAGTTATTGTGGGCTGATCAGGTCTGAAATCTCCCAAATGAGTGTACAGTAAATATTAAATAAAAAGAGGCAAATAGAATGATTTCAGGGCTCCAGGAGGATCAAAGCCCTCTCACAGAATTGGAGGTTCTTTTAGGGCTAAGACTAAAACCTTCTCTTGGTGGTCCATATTTATTTGGTTATCAGAAGGGAGGGGAGTACTCAAGAAGGGCAGAACCACCCGAGGGCTTCTCCAAGTAAGGTATTAAGTTAATCCACCCAGAAGTGAGATGCCTGAGACTATAGTCTTTATCTGGTTGAGACTAGATGCAGGTGTCCTTGGCTGTGATCTTGTTTTATCCTTTGAGGCTTTGTGGTTTCATCTACCACTACAGGTTTTAATAGGGATTAGTGACTCAGAGAGGTTCACTTACTATGAGTCTGCCATCTCCAGACAAGGAGCCTAGGCCTTGGACAGATTCACAAGTGAATGTGAAAAGCCAGTTGATTAATTTAAGTCCCTCTCTGGTCTGCTTCCTAGTGGTCTCCATCAGATAGGGTCATGGGCAAAGTTGACTGTTGGGGTCTATGTGCCATTGTTTAAATCTCCCGCCCATTTTCTTTGTTCTTGCCTTCCCCTGGATGATCTAGTTGTGGATATTTCTTCCATGTTCAGGATGAGGTGAGATAGAGGCAGTTCTTTCAGAAGGGCTGGGAAACAAGAGTGGCATATTGCTCTTGCTTCCCTTCAGGAACAAATAAACGTATGGCTTCTCTTAGACTTGACCCATGACAGCACAGGGTAGGGGCAGTGCAAGTGGTGGGAAACTGCTTTTCTTCCACTTTTCATACAGCTGTTGTGAGGATTTTTTTCTAGCAGGTTTTTGAACCTCTTACTGGACTCTGGATCTGATACATCTCTAGATGGTTGTTTAATTACTGTTTCTAGGGGAGGATAAGAGTTTGCTTCTCTTATTATGCCATATTGCTTGATGGTGTCAGCTTTCAATATTTTTATTGTTTTATCAGGTTTGTTATTGCTTTGTTGTTTACTTTGTTTGTATTCAGGACAGCAATGTTATGTTTAGCATAGTATCTCTTCCCTCAGTTCATATCTGTGGTGGGTTGACAACTGGTGGTCTACTTGTAACAACACCTAGCTGAACTGAACCATTGTGATGCTGGATGTGCAAGGATCACCTAAGGATGATATTTGGGACTGTTGTCAGCAGCATGAGAGACACAACTAGAGAAGAAGAAGAGAGGTTGTTGGGAGCTGAGAAGCTGTTGGGTGCTGTTAGAAGCTGTAAGGAGCTGTTGGTTCTCTTGGAGAAGCTCATCATACTGGTTATCCTCATGAATTTGGCTGTTCTCTTCATTTGAGGAGCTTGGGACCTTGTTGTCACTGAGAATTGCTTTGGTTCACTCTGGGGAAGCTCTGGCCCTCACTTTGAGCATCATTTCCTGGCTCTGGAGGGGAAGATGGTATACTGATGAGTCTCCTGGAGAAGCTTGTCATGTTGACTTTCCTGATGGGAACTCAGCTTTCCTCACCATAGGAGGAGCTCGGGACCTCACTGTTGCTGAGGATGGCTGTGGTACCTTTGAGGGAGCTCTGGTTTTTACTTTGAGTGTCACTTCCTGGCTCCAGGCCATATCCCTCAGCCCCCTAGCACACATCCTTCATCCCACTGGCACAGACTTTCTAACTTCCACTACAGACCTTTGGGCCTTGCAGTACAGACCTGTAAAACAGGCCTGCATTGGACATTATCATGGGCTGTAGGCCTCTAGTTGGATTTGTGCAAAACATTGCTATGGGCTGTAGGTCTTCAGCTGACCATGAGATCCAGACCCTCAGCTGGATTCTTTGGTCTTTAGTGTGTGGACAGATTTCTTGCACTCTTTTATATGATTCTTTGGGTGACTATTATAAAATAATCTTATAAAATATGTGTTCTGTATTATATTGTTTCCCATTGCAATAACCCTAAACCATAAGAATATCTTTAGTCTTTAGCTAAGTTGTATTCAGACTGTGCCATATATGAAAGCATCCAAATTCCTTTAGAACTCTAGAGACAGTTTGGAAGATCCTTTCTGGATCTTTCTCTCTCTGTTGATCTAGCAGCCGTCACTTTTTCATATTCATATTTTGTATTTTCCAGCCCAAAAAACCTAGGAAGGTTTTTCCACAAATACCCTCTTAATCCTTATACTATATTTATTCTAACTCTCCCTGTGATATAAATATATATATCAAGCTTCACCCTCTACAGTTATTTTCCTTTGAACATGATTCTAAAACACATTTTCCAGATTCTGCTAGTCCTTCAGCGTCACTGAGTATTGAAACTCTTTTCTAATCATGTATAAGGTATAAGGATGCTCAGATCCAATCTCTTTGTTGTGTGAATCAAAGTTCATGTTCATGCTATCAATCTTAATAGTGTACAGACTTTGTATATTCACTTCATTCCTCTTTTTCTCTCTCCACACAGAAACAGATACACACACACACACACACACACACAATCTCATGGCTTCTTTAAGTCTGTAGAATCTATAGTGGTGGCCTCTTTCTACACTGATACTTTTATCATTGCTCTTCTTTTATACTTTAACTGTGAGATTATTTTATTTTAAGGGGGCTCCTGTGCTTCATGACTTTATCATGGGAATTTATTTTCAATCTTCTGATGATAGAAATTCGAGACTATGTCTTCTCTTACCTGGAATTGATGGCTTATACCTGATGTCCCCAAATATCACTTATGTCCTAGTCTGGCTTTAACCTCCTTTCATATTCTAGCATAGGAATTTTAAAGTCAGTTGTTACATGATAATAGGAAAGGGTACCTATTAACTAATTTTCCTATATTGTTAGATCTCTTCTATATTTTTAGTCACACATATACACTTTTAGGCATGCACTACTTAAATTTTAGTTAATAGAAAACTAGAAATATTCTAAGAAGTTTTTCTCATAGCAATTAAAGATGAGTAAGAGATCAATAGTTATTATCAAAATCAAATAATATAAAATATACTGACACTTGGTATTATTCTAACATTTTTCAGAAACTTCTTCAAATGTCTCTATCATGGTTCTGCCTATATCTCTAGTTTTTGTCCTGTTATCTTTTCATTTCCTCAAATGACAGCCTTTCAGCTGGCCTCCATTCTATTATGCTAGCCATGCTCATATTGTTGAGTCATTTCCTAAATTTAGTATTTCAGACTGAATGGCAGCTCCACAAAATACCTTATCTAAATGCCCTACCTTATATGCCTTTATAAAATTCTTTATTAAAGCACCTTCTTTTGTTCTTGGCATTTTTAATAATATATTTGTATATAAAATTTAATGGTAGACTCTTGTTTGCCTTTTTGCCTGTAAACTAACTCTAAAGTCCAGTTTTTCATATATACTACTATATTCCCCTTATCTCTATAAGTGCTTGTCACCTGAGTGTATTGAAGTCATATTTGTAATTAGATTAGTTGAAGTGAAATAATTCTGCTTTACTTTGATTATTTCAGACATAAGATGTGTTTGAATTTGTATGTAATAACTTTTAACCTAGAGAATGTCATAATTTGGTAACTTTTGATACTGGATCTACATTATGCCTCAATGAGTAAATTAATATATATACATATCAATAACATATGAAAGTAAATAAGTATAAAATATGTTCATTATAAAAGTATTAAAATATAGAAGTTTATAAAGGCAAAACACCTTCAAATTATTACTTTCTTTTGTTTTCTTCTTATATACTGGTTTTCCATTCTGTTTTTACTTAGTTTCCAGACGGTGTAAGTTTGGAAGGATTTTCAGTTATTATAGCACAACTGCTTGGACTTAATATTGGATTAATATACAACAACATCGATAATTGTTCTTGTCCGAGGGCTACATGCATAATGAGCCATGAATCAGTGTAAGACTTTTTCTCAATTAATTTCACATGTACTTTTAGGAGGTTTTCCAAGATGTGATGAATTTCAGAAATCTTTTTATTTTCCTATGTGTGAGAAATCAACATATGTGACTCACCTTATTTTGATTGTCTGTAGGCCAAGATGACAATACTCCCAAGAGAAAGTGAATCAGTTAACATTTATTTCAGTTGTCTCATGTCAACCAAAGTTATACATTTAGGTGTCACATATGTAGTCATGTGCATAAGATTATCCGTTAACAACAGGCCATGCATATATCACAGTAGTGCCATAGGATTACTTCACCTAGTGACCTTAGTTTGTGTGACTACAAACACTAACTGCTGTTAACTATGACATTTGCACAATTACAAAATCACCTACCAATATCTTTCTCAGAATGCACCCTGTTGCTAAGCACTGCATGGTGATAATGCCTTATCCATCCATTCACAGTAAGCTTGTGTTCTCAGCCATTTGCTGTTATAAACAACAGTACTACTGATAAGGTAAGTTTTACAGAAAAGAGCTTTATTTAGGCTCACAGTTCTGGTCCAGGTTCTAGGGCCGGCATGGTAGATGGCCTTCATGCTGACATTGCAGTCCTGAGGCCACCAAGGCATCACATGGAAAGAGAAAGGGAGCAAGTGCACCTCCTCTGCTTTCCCATTCTTTAACAGTATTCAGCCATGATGACTGCACTCCACTAGTGTAGCTGACTTTACGTAATCACCTCTCAAGAGCTCCACTTCAAATCAAAATAAATTTCTACCTGCTCCTGCTCAATACCTCACAACAGGGATTAGGTTCCATACATTTCCTAGAGTACAAATAATGGATCATTGCAGTTCATATGAACTGTATTTTTTGGGAAATGTTAAAGTTAATATTAAAATTTTAGTTGATCAATTTAATTGGCTAAAATATAAATTTTGTTCTCTTTAAGCCATGTTGTGATTCATATAATTTACATATTGGACAGTGTTTAGATGTTTTTTAAAGTTTATTTACCTGAGGAATATTATTGCATTTTAGGAGTTCCAGTGGTATCAAGATTTTTAGTAACTGTAGCCTGCATGACTACAGGCATTTTGTTTCAAAAACTGAGGCAGATTGTCTTCACAATTTTTCAAATTTAAAACTTGTCTATCAAAATCAACCAGTGTGTGGCAATGGGATTTTGGAATCTAATGAAGAATGTGACTGTGGCAATAAAGAGGTAAGTGACAAATATTGAAATCTGAGCACCATTTTACAACTATAATAAAACATGTCTAACAATGGAATTAAATATGCAACTACTGAGACTTGAGAATGAGCATAAGTTAGATGAATCACTTCCCACATCTCTTGACTCGAGGAGATCAATGTGGCATGAAGCCTTGGTTTGCATATCTACTGCAAATCATCTCAGAAAATACATATTAAACATATAGGCTAAATAAAATTTTTCCAGCAGTGGTTCAATTTCTAACTCATATAGTTTTACCCTGTACTTTTTCTGCATGAACTTCTGCTAATATTCTTCCAAACTTTTCCCTATCCCTTGTGGTTGCAAGAATTTCTGGACATGATTGGTTTTCTTCAATTATTCTCAAACATTACTGTAATTACAAATGTTTGGATGGTGAAAAAGCTTTTTCATTTGGCTCATTTCTAAATGTAGATATTCAATAAATTTTCAATATTCTCATCAGGAAGGACCACATATTTAGTCTACTGTAAATATCATTGGTGTATAATACTTAATGACTCCTTTCTAGGACTTTTCTTTTTTTTTTTTTTTTTTTTTTTTTGGTTTTTCTCCGGTACCGGGAACCGAACTCACGACCTTGCGCTTGCCAGGCAGGCGCTTTTGCTGCTGAGCTAAATCCCCAGCCCCAATGACTCCTTTCTATAAAGATAAAATGTCTTCATGATTCACCCTAGCAGTACATAAATTCTTTCCCTTAACAAAAACAGATGAACATCACATAGTTACTTAACACTAAATGCTTACAAATTCTTAGTCATCTTCTACCGCACAAAGTAAAATCTAGTATGCATGAATCTGTATGTCTTTGAGCACATATGTGTATATGTAAGATCCATGTGTATGTGGTTTCCAGCTAGCATAGATTTCTCAAAGCTATATTACTTTGCTGATAAGCACTACTGTGCTCATCTTGCATTCTTCTACCCCTAGATATACTGGCATCTCCCTGTCAATAAATACTGCTTTTTAAATGAATGATAGAATAAAACAACACAGTCTGAGTAGATCTCCACCTTGTGAGTTTCTACAGCCACAGGCTGTAACCAGACTGGAACATAGATGCTCCAGTGCCCCATCAGTATCTTTTCCACAGTCACTGTTGCCACAGTGCATTTTTAATCTTTATTAAGACATGTTTGCCATACATAGTGATCACATTCTTGTGGAGAATGTCAACCTGTTCACAATATGTCTTAATTCTTTTTCTCTATCTTTCTCTGTTCTCTTTACAAAAGCTCTGTTTCCATTCTGTCTTGTAAATCTTTTATTTCTTCCTCCCTTCTTCCTCCCTATTCTCCTTCGCATTGGAAAAAGTTCTTCCTATTTTCTCACATCTATCCTCCATTTTGCTTCTTACTGACACTTTGGGTTTTAAACCTGTGTGTTTGATCTATTTCACTTAAGATTATGGTCACCCATTTATCAAAAAATGTCTAACTTATTCTTTGTATATAAATGTCACATTTTCTTTATCCATTTGTTTGTTGATAAGCATATGGGTTGTTTCAAGATTTAGCTATTATAAATTGAGCTTCTGTAAATAAAGGTATGTATATATCACTGTGGAATGATGCTTTTAGCTCTTTCAGGAAGATATCTAGAAGGGAAATACGTGGGTGAAATGGAACTTTGCTATAAGCCATTTTTGAGTGGTACCACCAATACACAGGCTGGGGTACCCTTAATCCCAGCATCACACACTTAATCCATATTCACACACCATAAATCCATCATCCTTTGTGTAGAAGACCCCCAAAATTCCATCAAAACCCTTTTAGTACTAATAAATAAATTCAGCAAGATAGTAGGATACAAAATCAACACAAAAGTCATTATGATTCCTGGACACCAATAATGAATCAGAAAGACAAACATTAGGAAAACAATACCACCTACAATAGCTTCAGGGAAAATTAAATATGTAGAAATTAACCTAACAAAGGGTGTGAAAGACCTCTATAACAAAAACAATAGTACTAAAAAAAGAGACCCAAGAGGCCATCAGAAAATAAAAGACATACTTTGTCCCTGTAAGGGCAAAACCAATATTGTCCAAAGGACCATAGTTCAAAAATTGATATATAGGTGATTCAGTGAAAATACCAACAACATTCCTCACAGAACTAGAAAAAATAATTCTAAAATTCACACTGAACCAGAAAAGATCACAAGTAGCAAAAGCAATGCTGGGCAATAAGAGCAAATATTACAAAGATATAGTGGTAAAAGTAGCATGGTACTGGCACAAAAACAGACACATAGATCAGTGGAACAGAATGGAAGATACGGAAACAACCTCAGACACATTCAGTCATCTGATCTTTGACAAAGGGATCAAAAGTATCTGCTGGAAGAAAGATAGCTTCTTTAACAAATGGTACTGTTAATTCCTATCATCTTATTTTGAAATCATGTATCAATTTTGTTGTTTTTGTGTTGTTTTATTTTTGTCTTTATTGTTGTTATTTTGTTATTAATTTTTCTTTTTAAAAATTAAAAAAACCCTAAAAACACACAAAAAAATGGTGCTGGGAAACTTAGAATCCACATGCAGGAGAACTCTCACCAAGTACTAAACTAAAAGGAAAATGGATCAAAGACTTGTTTGATCAGTCTTACATTCCTATATTTGTTTATCTGAGTAACCAATTTGAAGATATCAATATGTAATACAACCACCATTGTTAATTTCCTATCATCTTGTCTGAAATTCTGTATTGCTGATATTGTTTTGTGTTACTTTGTAAATGTGTGTATTTTTGTTAATATGTTTTCTTTCTCTTATCTTTAAAATAAAAAAAAAAGAAAATTGAGCAACAACTGAACAGACACTTCTCAGAAGACAAAGTACAAGTGGCCAATATATGAGAAAAAAAGTTCACCATCCCTGGCAATTACAGTGATGCCAATAAAATAACAGTGAGGTTCCCATCTTACTGCAGAAATAATGGCTGCTATCAAGAAATCAAATATGAACAAGTGCTGTCAAGGTTTCAGGGAAAGAGGAACCCCTTTGCATTGTTGGTGGGAATGTTAACTAGTATAACCACCATGAAAATCAGTGTGGAAATTCCTCAAAAAACTAAAAGCAGAAACCCCATTTGGCCTAGCTATTCTTCTTTTAGGTGTCACCCCAAAAGAGCTATAGACATCACAGCACAGTGGTACATGCATACCTATGTTTATAGCTCTATGATTCACCATCCAAATATTACAAGTGCTCTATATGTTTATCAGTAGGTAAATTGATAAAATGTAGTATTTGTACGAAATGGAGTACTCTTTTACTATATAAAAGGATAAATTTGACTAATTTTAAGAAAATGGGTGCACCTTGAGACCATAATGTTAAAATGAAATAAATAAATCATATAATCTTAAATATTACAGGTTTCTGTTATATGAGAAACCTAAAGTATAAATAAATTAAGAGCAATATATAAGACATATAACAGGAAACAGGGAGATAGATCTTTTGCAAATGGGAAGGGGACCAAGAGATGGAGGAGGAGAAGATGTAGAGGAGAAGGGGATGTAATAAGAATATGTGTCATGTACACGTGTCAACTCCCCACAATGAATGCATTATGGGCTACAACCATGAACTAACAGAAAAAATATTTTTAAAAAATCAATGATTTTTCCTTATCCTCTTTCACAGTCTGTTTATCAAACCACACCAGCTGCTGCTATAAATTATTGTGGGACACAGATACTCAGAGAAAGATTTTGAAAGTAAATCTTTTGCTAGCTAGGCCATAAGACATACTTATTACTAGTTTGGGGACATTTGAGTAGATGCCCTTTAGAAATTGAAGCTCTAAATTCCTCTCAGTTTCCTGGACGTGAAGTGGTCCAAATGAAGGAGGAAAGCAGCCTCACATTGCCTGAAGGCCTCAGAGCCTTTCCCTGAGATGGACACTTTGTAAGATGATGCTTCCTCTCCAAAAGCTTTGATCTGTGGCAAATGTAAGGATCAAGTGAGAAGATATTTTAATTGTGGAATAAAGGGTTATTTTTAAACCTGTGGAATTTTCATATTCTGCATGGACAAGAGTATGGAGAACATGCCCAGGGATGGATGTTAAGGATACTGACTCCAAGTTGTTAAAATATAAGCCTGGATGAAGGACGTTTGCTAGTGCATGAGGACTTCAAACTTTGGGAAGAAAATCTAGAGCCAATCTTAAGGCACTGCTGAATGGGTGCTTGAATATGGAAATCAATCTGGCTTACATTCAGTTAAGTGGAGAATCCAGATTGGCCTTGGAAATGTTGTAAGAAAATGGTCAAAATTCCGAAGTGTGGCCAACTGTGGAATCAAAAAATAGTTGAAAATCTCAACAGATCTCTTCCATACACTTAGGGTCCTTTACTGGACCCATCATTATGAAGATGATCTCTCCCTGATGTCACTAGGATCCTTGGATTCCAGAGCAGTAAAGGTCAAGTGGGAGCATTTAATTAGTGTATTGTGAAGTGAGACACAAATGGCAGTAGTGTTGACCTTTGTGGATTTATACACAGATCTGAAGAAGATCTGGGTAGTCAATCATGATATTGTTTGATGTTTCATATTTAAAGCTAAGAACAATGAATGTGGGACTGATACCACCTGCTGCCAATAGAAAATCAAAACCCACTGTCAATTTTTCAGAGTCTTGGCTCTCTTTTTACATGGAAGATGAAATCCTATGATACTCCAGCAAGGATGAAAAGCAGCATTTCTTCAAGCATTCCTCCTCCCCTGAATTGCCCTCTGCCCTTTACTAGAACAGTACAAGAAATAAACGGATCATTTCAGGTGAACTAGATACAAATCTGAGCTTACAGGTTATGCATCAGAGGGCCCAAAACACTATCATGTTTTTAATAGCAGTATAGAGTCCAGGTGATTCCTGAAATCTTAAAAGAATCCATTGGGCAGTAAGCCAAGCAGATTTATTTTCCTCCTGTCATCATTTCACAAGTCCTTCAGTGGCAGCTTGGGGTGGGGTACTATGACCTCACAGACCCTCACATTGGTTCCTTAACCTATATAGAAAAAGCTTGAAAGATAGTAAAGGCCAAGTGGCAACACCTGGAATCACCACACTAGAAATCAAGACTGATATATACTGAATGAAAAATAAAAGAAGAAATTAGTGAATAATTTGAACCACTTAGAAGTGAAATGAAGTGATAACCAAGACATTACAAAAATATTATATACAGAATCTATGCTACCAGGAGTGATATCAGAGCCCCCCAACACCATCATAGTTAGCACAGGTTCTGTATCCAATCATTTTTAAACAAATGTGGGGGCTTTGGAAATTAAGTCAATGATCAGAGTAGCCACTTCTAACACTACTAAAGGAATAAAGGATACAGGAAAACATTGTATTTCATTATACTTCTTATACTTATATTTCTTCACAATCACAATCATTAAAAAGCAAATCCTGGACTGCTAACATAGTTGTACTGCTGACTTCTATCACTTTATTGAAAGGAACAGTTAATGATCAATTATTTTGATCAATCTTGCATGTCTATATTTATTTTCCTGAGTAACCACTTTGAAGATATCAATATGTAGTACAACAGCCATTGTTAATTCCCTGTCTTGTCTGTAATTCAGTACTGCTTGTACTATTCTTGTGCTACTTTGTAAATTGTTGTCTGTTTCTTAATATATTTTCATTCTTTTACTTCTAAAATTAAAAAAAAAAAGCAAATCCCTAGTAAGACAGTTGAAGAATGTGTATGTTTCTCGTGGAAACTCATATTTTTCCCTCCTTGGGATATATTTCCATATTAGTAAGTTTTTTGTTTATTTCCTAATATTTTATCTAGTATTACTAACAAACTGCTAATTTACATGCTATTACCTTTGTTCTTATAGTTATATATATACCTTTGAATATTCTAAACACAAAATAGTAAAGCTTCAATGAATATATTATTATTTTATTAAATAAATTGAAGTTAGTATTAAGTTGAAGTTAGGATTATGAACTAAGACTCCTTAAGTCCTTGAGTTGCACTATCATGATTTCTTCTTTTGATATTATAGGAATGTCAGCTTAAAAATTGTTGTGATTATAAAACATGTAAATTAAAAGGCTCAGTAGAATGTGGTTCTGGACCATGTTGCACATCAAAATGTGAGGTAAGTTCCTAATATTTATGAAAAAGAAATTGAAATGTGATAATAGAAGGCTGTATTGACTGAACCAGTGTGGAGTTGGTAAAAAAGAATGAAGAAACCATTCAATGAGAAAAAGTACAGAATGTATAAGCGAACACAAGCATACAATGCTACTATGAAATAAAGAAGGCATCTCAAATTGGTACTGATTATTCTACAGTGTTGAAAACAAAAAGTGTAACATCTTATAAATTATTTTATTAGTGATGTAGAATAGTGAAGTTCATTTGGGGAATTTGGTTCATGCATATAACATCTTGTTCATTATCAATCATATAACATTACTCTTTTTTTCCCCCTTGAACCTTTTTCTCACCTACTATTTTGTCATCTTTCCTTTATTTGTGTATTTACTTATGTAGGTTTCTGATATAAGAGAAAAGAAGTGATACTGAATTTTCTAAGTCTAGTTTACTTTACTAAAAAATGATATTTTCTAGTTCCATCCATCTTTCCTGCAAGTGACACAATTTCATTCTTCTTTATGGCTGAATGGTATTCCTCTGTGCATATTTTTCCTTACATCTCTTTCTTAGTGCATATTGGTTATACAGATTAATAGTTTTCATTTTGGCAGACTTGTGGATGCACATAATATATTTTGATAATTTTCACCTCTTAACTCTTCTCATTGTACATATATACCATATTTCCATTACCCATTCATCTGTTGACACTACTAAATCAAAAATATTCATACTCAAATAAAGCATAAATTCAAAATATGATAAATGACCATGAAAAATTGTACCATGAACTGCTAATAAAATGTACAGTTTGCCTAATATGCAAAAAACTCATACATTCATAAGTAAATGGCAAATTATACACATGATAGAAGCAAAAATACTGCTTGGAATTGTTACAAAAAGTATTATACATTGTTCAAAAGTTAGCAAATGTGAATAAAGTATAATAATATAATGTACTATGTAATATTATCTCCAATATAACATAGCTGGATAAGAAAATAAGGTTCATAATGTAAAATTTTGAACCTAAATCTGGAAAATCACATGTAAATAACTGTCACATGTATTTTTCCCAATTTTACCTTCAAAGTCTAATTTAATACGTAAAATTCTGTTAGTGAGGCTTTCTGTGGGTTGTAACTGAAATTCTCAAGCATTCAGCTACATCATAATCGAAAGTAAGTCAATTCATCATCTGCAAAAAATCTCTCCCTCTACCTTTTTCTTCTCAACCCTCTACCAACAACTCCTGTTTTCAGCCTCTGATTTTGAATTTACAAAAACATCACATAAATTGAATCATGTAATATATATGAGCATATCAATTTGGTATAAAGCATTTGAGATTCATTCATATTGTGGTGTTTAACTGCTAATTTTTTGTCCATTGCTAAATAGTGTTGGAAGTAATATAACTACAGACCACAGTTTATTAATCCACTCTTCAGTTGAGGGCTATTTGGGTCATCTTCAGTTTGGGGTAATATTTTAGTTATTTTCTGTAATGGTGGATACACTGTCTCAACTTGAGAAGTTTAACTAAGTGATTCAGTAGGGAGCCCGGGTCCCTTACTTTGTAATCATCCTCATCCTGTGCAAGAGGAAGGCATGGAGATGGTGGGAATGCTACACCCACCCTGGGGAGATGGATGGCCCCTTACAATATAAGGGAGGAAAAGAGCCTTGCTTTTTACTTTTGTTACTTTTGCTGTCTTCTGCCTTAAAGTGTTGCCCCTGGGCCATGCCACCCTACCTTGGAGCCACCTGGTTACTGACTGAAACCTCCACAAATTGTGAGCAAAATAAACCTTTCCTTCCTTATTTTGGGTGTCAGGTATTTTGTCTCAGCAATAAGAGAAAAGTAACCAAGACAATTTCTCATTGTTGAATCACAGTATTGACACTCAAAATTTAAGGTAGGAAAGGTTGATTTTTGCTCACAGTTTGTAGAGGTTTACGCTCACAGTCAGCTGGCACCAAGACAAGGCAGCATGGCAGAGGGATAATAGTAAATGAGAACTAGTCCACAGCATGACAGGCAGGAAGCAGCACAACTTCCTTCCTTTTTCCCTTTTTATTCCATCCTGGGTACAAGCATATTGGTTGGTTCCACTCACACCTGAGGTTGGTCCACCTTCTTCAGTAAGTCCATCACTTACATCCAGAACTATGCTAAACCAATGAGTGGATTAATCTAGTGTCACACACCCACAATCCAGTATCATACCCATGATCCAGTCATCTTCCAAAAACCCCACCTATGAGCACATGAGACCTTGGAGGGACATGTAGTTATAAGCCATAATAAGTAATAAAATGTACCCACTATAAACAATATTCATGAGCAGATTGTGTCTGAACATAGTGTTTCTTAGTGAGATAGTTTAAAGAAGACCTACTGGATAATTCAGTAAATGGAGATGGAAATTTCTGGGAACCTGGAAAATTATTTTTGAAAGCAATTGTGGTATCCTGAATTCCTACCAGCTACTTATGAGATTTACAGTTGTTTTGCAAATTAAATGTAAACTTTAAAAGTAAATGCTATATGGCTTTATCTTATGTTCTGTATTGTTTTGCTGGTTATAGGCTTTAAAAATAATTTACACCAGAGGTTACAAATCCTTGATTGACTAGAATTAATTTTATGCATGTGTAATTTTCTGTGTAGTGAATAGATCTTATAAGAGAACCCCAAAATATAAAAGAAGAGCAAAATATATCATTTTCAAATGAGAAGGCGATTAAGAGATGGCAAGAAGGGATAGGAAGAGGAGGGAAAAATGGTGAGAAAAGATCTGAGATGTACTGTGTACATGCACCAACACTCCATAAGGAATGTGGTCATTATGCAATACACACATATGTTAATAAAAAAATAAAAACTGGAAAAACCACTCCCAAATACTGTAACAACAAAGTATATTGATACTATTTTTTGCTTTATGTAATATTTTTAATTTTTACACCACAGAAAGCGAGAAAAATTAGATGTATCTCTTTATTTCATTCTGCAGCTATCTGTCTAATGTTGTATTTCCCATATTTGAAAATATTCCTTTACTTTCTTTTGTAATTTAGGTGTGCTGGAAATGAGTTCTCTTAGTTATTGTTTGTCCAGGAAAGCCTTTATTTCTCACTATTAAAATATATATTTCCATAAAACTGCCTGTCTACATGCTGAAGACTAAAACTAGACTCATGTCTATCACCGTGCACTAAAGTAAAGTCAAAATTCAACAAAGATCTGAATATTAAAACATAAACAATAAATTTATTGGAAGAGAAAGTAGGTAGAAATCATGAAGACATAGGTGTAGGGAGAGGATTCATGAGCAAAACCCAGACAGCATGGGAAATCCTTCAAAGAATCAACAATTGGGATCTCATCTTAAAAAGCTTAAAAAGAGGTCATCAACAGTGTGAAAAGAAAACCCACAGAGTGGGGTAAAATTTAGCCAATTGTCTCTCAGTTAAAGGTTTTCTATCTAGAACATATAAAGAATTGAAAAAAATCAGACCCCCAAAATTCAAACACCCAATCTAAATATGGGCATCTGAGATGAATATACATTTCTCAGGTGAAGAAATACAAATGACAAATAGATATATGAAAAAATGTTCCACATAATTTGTCATTCAAGAGATGCAAATACAACCACACTGAGATACCATTTCACTTCAGAGAATAGCTATCATCATGAAATCAATAACAAATGCTGGATGGGCTGTGGTGAAAAAGGCACACTTTTCCACTGTTGGTAGGAGTGAAGACTGGTGCAACCACTGTGGAAATCAGTCTGAAGATTCCTCAAAAAAGCTAAGATTAGAGGTCCCATTGGACCCAATTATTCCCCTTCTTGGTCTTTTCCCAGAAGAATTAAAAACATACCACTGTTATAGATGTGCACCATGTTTATAGCAGCACAATTTGTCATAGCTAAATCTTGGAAGTAACCCAAATGCCCATCAATTGAGGAATGGATAAAAAGATGCAGTCTTTTTGTATAATGGAGTACTAGTCAGTCATAAAGTAGGATAAACTTGAGACTTTTATATGTAAATGGATGCAACTAGGGACCATACTCATCAGTGAAATAAATTAGTCTCACATGTATAAACATCATACTGTCTGCCTGGTGTGAGAAGCTGAAAGTGTTGTTAAAAAGAAACTAGGATAGGGGAAGGGGGAAAGAAGGGATGGAAAAGGCAAAAAAAGTGCAAGTTAGTTATATTATTAGTGTCTCAGTTCATAGAAAAGGAAGGGTTGCTCTAATATTGATTAGAGAATATTTATGCCCACATCTTGCACTTTGCATAACTACTTTAAAGATAATAATATGCAATGTATCAATTATTCTCATTCCCCTATCATGAAATTTTGTTTTACCTTTTAACATGAATATATATATATAGTCTCCAGGATATGGAACTCTAAATTGAGTTATTTTTTCTTTCATTACTTTTAAGATCCCATTTCATTTATTACTATTAATGTTTGTTTTATGAATTGTTAATTCAAAGTGGATTATTGTGAATGTGCATGTGCCTTTGTGTGTTTGTGATTCCAAGGTGTGTATAGGTCAGCATCCTGATGTTGTCAACCTTGCCATGGAAGACATGGGTGACCCATTTTTTCAGTTGGCCAGGAACTTGTAGTAGTCATTATGCTCTTTGTGATATATGCAGTGAGACTTCTGTGCACTCAGCCAGTCTTAAGTTGAATGATGGTGGTGGTGATCAGTATTACAGGTGCTACTGTTGGGTATTACCCTAAGTACCTTTTCCATTAAATCATTTAATATTCATGAGACCTCATGGAAGCTGTGCATCACAGTGAATGCCTGGAGTCTTGGCACTCAGGAGACTGAGGCATTTGAGCCCAGGAGTGCAACATATTAGTACCCGTTGCCAAAATCAATCAAAGAAAGCAAAACAGAACCCTCTGAGAGTGTCTGTCATCCCAACTTTACAAATGTAAAAAGGAGACATTGTGTGTCTCACATACACAATTAAGCTAGAAAGAGGCACTCTCCAGGAACACACAAGGACAGGCAGTGATTCTCCCATCCCAAGAGAGGTTGCTCACTATGGAGCAGAAGTGGGGGCACTTCAGCCTGCTCTCAAGATGTTTTCCTGTCTTTGATGGATTTGCTCTTCTCTGGGCTTCACAGTAGTACTGTCCATCTTTTTACCTTTGGAGAACTCTTGGCCTTGGGGACTCTATATTATTAGCCACTTTACCATTGCTGGGACACAATACCTAATGCCCATAGTTTAAGAGAAGAAAGGTTCATTGATCTCAGAGCTAACAGTGGGTTCAGTCTAAGGTGGCTGAAAAAAAAAAAAAAGGCAGAAATACATCGTGGAAGGGCATGATGCATGAAATCTGCTCACCTCCTGGCAGCCAGGAACCAGAAAGAGGAGAAATGAGAAGGGAGAACAGTACACCCTTTCAGGTCATGCCCCTAATGCCCCCCTCCAAGTAGGCCCCAGCTCCTCCCAGAATGTTCAGCTGCTGAACTCCCCAGTGGATGAATCCATTGATGAATATAGTACCTATGTGATCCAAGCTGCTTCCAAACACATGAGAATTTGGGGAGAACTTTTTGGATGTAAACAAAAACATCTGTGATTACCTAAACTATCAATAACCAAATCTATTTTATTTGATAAATATCTGCAGTAAGTAATTAAGAAGAGTCATCCACAGACAATGATTTCTTTTTTCTTTCCTTCCTAGTTCTCAGTAGTAGGTACTCCCTGTAGAAAGAGTGTTGATGAGGAGTGTGATTTCACTGAGTATTGCAATGGGACTTCGAGTCAATGTGTTCCTGACACTTATGCACTGAATGGCAATCTGTGCAGATTAGGAACAGCGTACTGTTACCATGGACGATGCCAAAATCTTGATAACCAGTGTGCTGAGATATTTGGAAAAGGTATTGGTCTTTCCTTCACATTTCTTCTTAACTTAAATTTGGATTTATTTGTGGATTGTATTATATACCACACATCTTCACATGTGGAAAAATTTGGATCACAATTATTAATAAAAATTAAATTTGAATTAAAATGGCAAATTTTTGCAGTTGTAAGAGTACTTGACATATTTCAGAATAGTGCTACACAGTATTTCACTTATGATTTGATTTTTGCTTTGGTAGTTATATATTTGGTCGAAAATCCATTATGTTTATAGCTCATAACTTTGTATATTTGTAGCAAATCATTTATTTCTGGAAATTTATGTAGTCTTTTTTTTTTTACTTGTCACATTCATAATCTCATTTAGATGCCATGAAATTTATGAAGTGGATTTCATTCACATAGAATCCCAATTTCCTCACTGAAAACCAGCTAGGACACCAGTAGTTATATGCCACCTAATCAAAGTTCATGTTTGTATTTTGTTTTTATATAACTTTTGAGCGTAATTCAAATAAGACTTATGCATATATACTTGCTTTTTTAGTGAGATGTTATTCATAATACCAGAGCATGACTTTGTATTTTAGGGTTAAAATAATTTGAATATGTAAAACTTAATCAGATATGCTCAAATACAATCATTTATTAAATGAATAAAGTTAATATAACAGTGAGTTTCAGTTATTTGTGCAGAAATATGCTAAGAAATATATTTTGTTTCATATACTATGTACATGGCTCACATTATCTTTCCAGTTATTTGAAACATGTATTTAGCAATGAATTTAAGATTGCACAACTTAATCAAATTTATCCAAACCTGCAGACCTATAATTTGTTAAATAAGAGTTCAGTGTTTTTTGTGCATGTTATGTTATCAGGTTTTGTTTTTTGGAGTTTTTTTGTGTTTTGGAGATGTTTCTTGTTTTTTGTTTTTTGGAGATGTGTGTCTGAGTTAATACTGATGTGTATTTCATTTTTATTTGTGATTATCATAATGACTTTAGATCAGTGTTTAACATGACTCTTAAAAATAAAGTTTAAAAAGTACTTTCTAAAGGAAAATCCAGGTCTCTCTTTCACTCTCTCTCTTTCTCCTCTTTCTCCCCTCTCCCTCTCACTATTTTTTACTAAAGATAAAAATATCTTTGACCCAGAACTGAGTTACTTTAGATTTGACATTCTTTTGAATTTTAATTGAAACAATGTTTAGGAAAGAGTTAATGAGTCATGTGTGTTTTTTCCTGTAGCATATTGTCTTGGTTACTTTTCTCTCATTGCTGAGACAAAATACCCAATGCCCAAAATTAAGGAGGAAAAAAATTAAGGAAGGAAAAGTTTAGCTCACCGTTTGTGGAGGTTTCAGTTCATACTTGGCTGGCTCCAAGGCAGAGTGGCACATGGCAGAGGGCAACACTTCATGGCAGCAGCAGATAGCAAAAGCAATAAGAGCAAAAAGGGAGGAGCTGTGGCAAGCAACCTCTTTCTCTCTCTTACATATGCAAACTATCTGCCCCAGGGCTTGTGTAGCACTCACACCCATAATCCCAGCATTGGATCATGGATCAATCATGAACTCTAAAAGCCCACCCCATGACTGCATGAGGCTTTGGGGGGACATCCAGACACAAACCATAACATATATATTATAGTTTCTTCACAAAATTGACATAACAGGGTCAAAAGTTTCATTTTCTGATGCATTCATTCATTCATTCATTAATTCATTCATCCATTTAGCTTCTTATTTTCCCATATTTTTCTTCTTCTAAGGTTTGGTATTGTGTCTTAGCAATGAGAATAGTAACTAAGACAAACTTTGGTACCACATAAGTGAGTTGGCTGCTGTGATTATACCTGACCATGTGATTTAGAAGCCTTTGGAGCTGGCTGTGGGAATGGGAGAGTTATGGAAGGTTTAGAGATGTCAGCTGAAAAAGTAGAGCTGAAACATCTTAGGCTGTACTGTGTGGGAGAGTCTGATTGAAGCGCAGGAGACCAGAGACTGATAGAAGTCCTATTGTAAAGACCAGGCTAAAGAGGTTTCTTCTGGGAAGGACTGAATTGGCTATTGGACTTCAGATGATGTGTATTATGGCTTGGCAAAAAGTTTTTCTGTATTTTGCTCATGTCAAGAGACTTTGCTTGATATTGACATTAAGAATAACAAACTAATTAATATTGTAGAAAAAATTTCAAGGCAATCTAATGTTGAGGCCATGGCATGGCTGCTGTTGGGGGCTTTTAGCAAGATCTATATTGAGAATCAAGAGCAAAGAACCCAGAAGAATGATTTAAAATATTGTAAGTTTGGACAGAAAGGAAGCTACATTAAAGCCTTTGGCTGCAAAGATACATCAGAGGCGATCTTGGTTGCTGAGAATGAATGGGAGAATAGAAAAGATAGCCTGGGGTCATCAGAAAAAGTAGTAGGACTGTACCATTTGCAGCCTCAAAATTGCAAAACTGAAAGGCTTTTCTTTGAGAAGGGAGCCCCAGAGTACAATGTTCTAGAATAGCAGTGGCCTAAAGAATTTGTTCCTCTAAATTGGATTCACAGTCAATGTTTATGTTTTTCTTTTTTTGCCTGTTTTGCATACTTATATCTGGTAATCTGAACAACTACTTTGAAAACAACAATATGCAATACAATAAAATTGTTGAATTTCTACCATCTTGATTAGTGAAACTCTGTATCAATTCTTTTTTATTTTTTATTCTCCTTAATTGTTTGATCATTCTTGTGTTCTTACATCTGGTAATCTGAGCAACTTCATTGTAGATAACAATATGTAGTATAAAAACCATTATTAATTTCCTATCATCTTCTTTTGAAGTTCTGTGTCATTTGTATGTTATTGTGATGTTTTGTTTTTATCTTTGTTGTTATTTTATTTTATTTTCTCTTTAAAATAAAACAAGAATTTGTTCCTCAGAATTGGAGTCAGAGTGCTCAGTAATCCAAGCACTTGACCCATATAGGCAAGAGAGAGGGAAGCCTGGTTACTGCTTCTGCTGGCAGGTGACTTTGGCATCGTCCACTTCCTGCTGGTTTTAGGTACCTGCAGAATGCAAGATTTGTGGGGTCAGGAAGGCTTCCACTCAGATTTCAGAAGAAGGTCTGAGAGGCCAGGCAGTGTGCTACTGAGAAGGCAGTGTGTGAAGCCAGTGGTATAGTGGAGACTCCAGAAGTTTAGAGAAGCTAGGAACATGGATTGTCTGAGAAAGACTGAGAGTACATCTAGCATGTTGGAATACTGAGTAAAACACATGCACTGTAAATGGCAGGAAGTAGGCCCTAGCAGTATTTAGGGGCCTATAACAACAGAAAAGAGTTTGAGAATTCAGTAGTTAGAAGTATGGCTCGACACACCTTTATATACCCACAAAGCAAAAGATTAAATCAGGCTTCTAACATTTGGATGATAGATCACAAAAGACCTGATAATATTACAGGTGTTAGGTTATGAAAACAAATGCCATGTGGAGACTACAGCAAGCCTGTTTTGGAGAACAGCAATAGATCTCCAGGAATGTTTGAGCAAGGCCACCATCTGACTTGAAGTAGGGTCTCCCTTTAACAAAACAATTGTGGTGTGCTACTAAGACTTGAAGTGATAAAGATTAACTTTGGCCATGTGTTCAGATTGGTATATCATAAACTCAATTGTCAGATCCACCAAATTATCTGGATCCAAACACATGCAAAAAGAGTACAAAAGAAAAATCCATAGGTCAAAAATCTAGAACAGTGCACTATTCTCCCCTTTTATAGAACTTTTCTTTTTCCTACCTCACACCTATGAATGCATGAGGCATTGGGAGGGCCGATGACACAGGAACAAGCAGGCTTGTTTCTCAGACAGGCTGGCATAGAAGGCAAAAGAGAAGAGGAGCTGTACTTGACCGTGTCCTGGAAGATACCAACCACCAGTTCACCTGCTATCTCAGGTGTGGCCAGAAGTTGGACTGTAGATGCCCTTCTACCTAAGCAGTAACAAAAGCCCCAGCTGCTTGATGGAGAACCTGGATTTGGAAAGACTGGAAGTTGAGGAATAAGAGTTCTGAGGTAGAAAGACATACATAAACAGATGGAAGTAAGCAAGAAATGTGAAACTCTGTATTAATCCATCAGGTTGACACCCATGAAACAGCTTCCAGTTTGGAAAGGTATAGAAAAACCAAAAATATGTAATGACTGGACCCGTATATAGCCAGGAAGCACTATCATCCATGCCAGCACTGCAAGAGAGATCTGCTTCTTGACTTTTTCTATTTTCTTTCCTTCCTGACTTTAGATAGCTGAACTTTCTGAGTTCAGCTTATCTGTTGTTTGAGTATTTGACCTACTGGTCAGATGCAGCCAACAGTAACCAAGAAACATCCTCTTTTCTTACCTCTTTGTCTTAGCCAAATCCTGCACTGTAGGACTCGATGGTCTCTTGGTGGTCCCCAGGAGAAAACAATGAGAGGATTTAGAAAATAAAGACAAGAGACAATAGCTGGGATCAGGTGGAGTTACCTCTTACCTGATGGCCAAGAAGACTGAACTTCAACAGTAGGGGCATTTATTTATACTCTTGCAAAGTTAGTATCATGAGAGGTAATGTGGCCTATGACTGTAATTGTCCAGGTAGGCTGTTTTTCTCAAAACTGAGGTAGCTTGACTGGTTGAGACACCCTGGCTCTGTCCTGCCCTCACACACATGACCAGTCCCACTCCAGCAGCTCCCAACAATTTATCAGGGCCATTGTCCTAAAGTATGAAGAATAACATTTCTTAATATACTTTAAGATCACAGAGCATGGATTACCCACTCTGTAGCCTCTGCCAAAAGCTTACTCATCACCTGCCAGGATCCAATGTCAGTGCCAAGATTGTAGGTGTATTTCATAGCAACACTGAACTTCTAGATTTCCAGTCTTATGTTTAATGAAATGGAAATAAATCCTAAATCTCTGAGATTTGTGCATTTGATTCAGTTATTTGACATTCCATATTACCTTCATTCTGATACCTAGCCTGGGAGGTTAGCCCATACTTACAAAATTGCTGATCCCCCAATCAAAGGGAAAAAAAGAAAACATGGCAAATTATGTACTAGTTTCAAAGTTTTCTTTGCTTGAAATTGACGTGTTCTAAATTTCTCATCTCATTAAGAATAGCAAGTTACAAGACCTGTTAGAATAGAAAGTAGCTGCTCCCACAAGGAAGAAAAGCAAAATCTGTAGTACAACTTGCTGTAAAACAGAAATTCTGAACTAACTGAAGCCATTTTGTTCAATAAAGCTGCAGCCATTCTGTTTTCTGCCACTGAATCAGCTAAATCATATGATTTGCCATCAAATTAAAACTTCTGTAAATGTGCTACAAACAACTTCACTGTATACAACTATGTTCATCACAAAATACCCACTGTACCATGGCCTTCAGGTAACCTTACGTAATTTTTGTAACTTCTGTTTACCACCCTATAAAAAAGACAAGCTCTTTGTAATTAGTACCTAACTTTGGAGATTGTTCCTCTGCGGTCCACTGACATTAATAAAATCCTTTCTTCTCCTGAGCTCCTGGCTACTGTTGACTCTTCCCTGCAACAACTGCAATAGGATAATGTAGGACTCAGTGGTCTCTTGGTGGTCCCTGGGAGAAAATGGTGAGGGGATTTAGAAAATAAAGACAAGAGACAGGAGCTGAGGTCAGATGGAGTGACCTCTTACCTGATGGGCAAGCAGATCTAACTTCAACAGTAGGTGCTGATGAGAGATTATGTTGCCTAGAAACTGACGACTATAATTGTCCAGGCAGGATGTTTTTCTCAAGACTGAGGTAACTTGACTGCTTGAAACACGCCGGCTCTGTCCTGCCCTCACACATATGACCAATTTACAGCTCCAGCGGCACCCAGCAGGATAATCCTTTACTGTGTTGATAGATAAAATTGTTGTTTCTTTCCATTTGCATTGATGGAATAAACAGGGAAAACAAAGCATGAACAAATACATGATTGCTCATATTTTGAAATAAGTCTCACTAGTCTATTATAGACAAGCATTTAATTTGAATTAAGCATGCTAACTCATTTGACATATTTGCATTTGAAGGTGCTCAAGGGGCCCCTCATGCCTGTTTCAAAGAAGTTAATTCTCCACAAGAGAGATCTGGAAACTGTGGTTTTAAAGATTCACAACCATTACCTTGTGAACAGAAGTACGTATATTGAAAATGATTGTTTCTGTGAATCATAAAAACTACATATGTCTAGTCAAAAGACACTAAACAATAACAATAAATGTATAATAGAGTACAAATACCAATATATACAATTCTCATTCATTCAATTCTGTTTCCTTTTTACACCTTGCCCCCAACACAGTTCTAAGAATGAGACTAGATGAAATTATCAGAGAAAGCAAGGAGGTGCAAACCACCAAAAATATTGACTCCTGCTCTTTAGTGAGAATTAAAATTAAGCTTTGTATCAGGTCTCTTAAAGGCAATAATCTCAAAGCAGTATTTTGATTCTTAAAACAAGGAATTGTTTTTTTGTTTGTTTGTTTTTGTTTCTTTTCTTTTTTTTTTTTTTTTTTTGGTCTTTTTGAGACAGGGTCTTGCTATGCAGTTCAGGCTGGCCTTGAGCTCACTTTGTAGCCCAGGCTGGTCTCAAACTCGCAATGGCCCTCTTGCCTCAGCCTTCCAAGTGCTGGGATTACAGGCGTGTGCCACCATGCCTGGCAAAGCAAGCAATTGTTGACAGCAAGAAATATTTCATTTCAACTACACGTAAACTCAAATTCTGAGAAATGGTCTGGAGAGGAAGAGTTTAGACTCCATAGTCTGACTAGAGAGAAACATTTTATGCAAGCCTAGTTTAAAATATATTTCAGTGAAGCACTGTGCTTGCCTGACAGGCAAAAAGCCCTGGGGTTAATCTCCAGCACTGCAAAATCAAAACAAACAAAAGTAAAATAAAATATATTTGATGAAACAAAGTGCAACCAATATCAAAAGCAGTATCAACAGCGAAGGAAGCAGAAAAAATTAAACTAGAAGTAGAAGCTTAGAAAGTGGTTCACATTTTGGTTCTCCATCTCATTTCAAATTTCACTTTTTAAGGCCAGGGATATAGTTCAGTGGTACAGGCGCCTACCTGGCAGGGTCCTGAATTTGATTCCCCGTACCAAACAAACAAACAAATTTCACTTTTTGATATCATTACACTAATCTCCCTGTAATAGTAAAAGAGCTCATAAGGTTTATTTTAGGACAAGTAGATGTCTTAATAAAGAGATTTGGTGAAAAAATAATGGCATGGCCAATAGACACATTCCACTGCTTAAAAACTGTTTTTCCCATAAGAAATGATACTCAGTAGCTCTGCTTCAGTGATTCCAAGATTGAGAAGTGACAGGTTATTTTCCAGGAAATAGTAAAGGAATACTGTAAACCCTTTGGCGATTTCTACCCAACCATAACTGGGAAATGTAAATGTGTATGGATTAACTTCAGTGGGATCATAACATGGAGGAAACCTAAAAGTTCTTAAATTTTTGAGAACAAGTTTATGGCTATTGGAAATCTCTGTATTTTGGAAGAAAACTGGGGCCAATTGGTATATTATAGAGACATACTGTCTAGAGATCATGATAGGAACAATAGGCATAATTAGAATGGATCAAAGACAAAATCAGAAGGGATGATTAGCACAATTAGAAGTGACAAGAAGAGACCATGGGCATAATCAAAAGATGCAAAAAAGAAGTGCAATTAGCCATTCTTTACAAATTTTAGATAATGATTACCAGGTCAGTCAAGGTGTATCAACATGGGTACAAGGGATGACTACTGCCAAAGAATATGGTACATATGATCAGTGCTTTTAAGACAGCTGGAGGTTAAAGAACACAGTGGAGATCTGTAACAGGAAATGAAGTCATGGTGCACATCTGAATTCAGTGTATGCATTTCAGTTCTGTCACAAGGTTAATCAAACTGTTTGTATTTGTTTATAAGATATTTCATCTTGTAGCACAACAATGTTTTTATTTTGGTATGTTCCTGATTTTATACCATCAATCAAACAACAGTTGTGTTACCAACACTGCGATACTTAACTGAAAACTAGTACCATTTAAAAGGAAAATGATAAGAAATTTTCTGCTTTCCATCTCCAGGGATGTTCTTTGTGGAAAGTTAGTTTGTATCCAGCCACATAAGAACAGTAATAAAAGTGCTGGGCAATCTGCAATTTATTCATATATTCATGATCATGAATGTCTGTCCATAACTCCTGGGACATCTTTGAGCTCAGATGGAAGAGATGATGCCTATGTGGCTGATGGCACTGTGTGTGGACCACAAATGGTAATAAAGTGTGACATTTTATATTTACCAGTGTTAAATTATGCTATTTATTGCACACCTCATAATCCACAGGCATCATTCCATGGTGACAACCCAAATTATACAGAGACATTTTACAAATTATACAGAGACAACCCAAATTATACAGAGACATTGAATGTGGTGATGCATTTACAGTAGTATCTTGGTTTACAAACTTAATTTATTTCACAATTCTGGTCATAAACTGAGTTGGTCAAGAACTAAATCAAATTTCCCCATAAGGGTCAATGTAAATAAGGTTAATCCATTCTGAAGTATATGTACATTTTTGACCACAACAATATGAAACAAAGTATAGTACAGTAGAGTACAATATGAAGAGAGGGAACACTAACCTTGTTTGAGGCAACTTCTGATATGGAGGACAAGGTCATGGGTAGGGAGGAGGTCATTGTTTGGAGGAAGAGTCCACACAGTCCGTAAAGACTTCTGAAGAGCTCCTTCAGGGCTTTTCCTTTCTTCTTTGTCTCTTAGCTTCAGGGTCAATTTTGACAAAAATTCTACCTCATGTAAGTTGTCTTTTCCTGCCCTCAGAACCCTCCAGAAATGAGAGACCACATTATCATTGATCTGATTCAACACTCTCTAGAAATGAGAGAGCACATTATCATTGATCAGATTCAATCATTAATCAGATTCAACAACATTCCATACAGTTATGTTGGGGTGGTGCTTCTCAAAGAAATTCTGATACTCATTCCATTTTTCAATAATGGATTTTATCACATCACTGGTAATCTCCTCTCTTGTCTTCCTCTTCCTCAGTGGAATGCTGCTCAACAACCACCTTCTGCTGCTCACTCTGGAGTTCAGCAAGTTCTTCTGTCATCAACTCTTCCTTATGGTCCTCAGTGCTATCAATTTCCAGACCCACTCTCATGACGAAGACACAATCTCCTTCACTACATGTGTATCTGACCCTTCACATTCACATCCAGTGACACATTCTAGTCACAGTTTCCTCCAGGCTGAGTTTACTGTCTGGTACATAATATCTTCCCAGGCTTTGTCAGTGAAGTCGAAGCTGTGGAGGATGTTGAAATGTTTCTTCCAGAACTCTTTCAGTGTAAAAGATGTCTCCCCTCAGTGACATTAAAACACCTGGTGAAGAGGGCCTTTGTGCACAGCTTCTTGATGGACTACATAATAGGTGTTCTGTTGAGGGAGAGGAGGATTTGACCTTTATGAGGTAATAGTCAGCATCCATATTATCCATCAAGGCCAGAGGGTGTGCCAAGATATTTATTGTCCATCAGAAGAAGGCACCTTTCAGGCAGTTGATTGTCAGATATTTCTTAACCATGTACCAGGTCCCATTGTTTAAATACAGGATGACCAAAAATTGAATATTTTTGTTAATTTTTATAATATAACAGGAAATATAAAAGTAACAATTTTGTCAAATTTATTCAAATCAAGAATTGATGGCTTGAAATGATACCTGCCTGAGCAATGCTTGGGACAGCTGGTACCTAAACAAACATGCTGGCTGAGTGACACCCAGGGTATATTGTTAAGTAAGTAATAAATGCTAACTATCACTAACCATCCAGGAAATGCAAAGTACAAGAAAATGAGGTAATATTTACTGTATACCCAGAAGGATAACTATCACTAGAAAGAAAAGCCAAAATGCAGAAAATGACAAGTTTTCACAAGACTATGAAGAGATATTGGAACCCTGGTGCACTGTGGGTGAGAATTTAAAATGGTACAGCCATTGTTAAAAGTAGTGTGGTTGTTCCTTAAAATGTTTAGCGAAGGATTACTCTATGTGGTGGCAAATTCTTATTTAAATATATACTAAAAAAACCAAAGTGGACATGTGAACAAACATTTGCACACCCATGTTCACAGCGGCATTATTCACAGCAGACAAAAGGTAGAAACCAACTAACTGTCCAGTTAGTTTAAATGAATAAATGAATACACAAAATGTATGAGTTGACAAATGTCCATTGGCAGATAAACAAATTGTATATCTGAAATAAAACATTTTTCAGTTTTAAAAAATGAAATTTAAATCCTACAATATTAATGAATCTTGAATATATTAAGTGAAATATGCCATACATAAAAGAACAAAACTTCTGATACCCTTCCATTATGTGATTACATTGTATGATCCCATCTGTGTTGAGTTACCCAGAAAAGTCAAATTCATAGAAATAGAAAGTAGAATAGTGATTAGCAAAGACTGAGAGAAATTAATAAAGACCTGTGGGTTTTTTGATGAGTACAGAGTTTCAGTTGAGGATGATGAAAAAGTTCTGGGGGTAGTGATGGTAAGCATTTTTCAAGTGCTTACTTGCCATCATATGTCTTCTTTGAAGGTGTACATATTCAAATTATTTTCTCATTTTAATAGACATGTTGGGTTTTAGATTTTTTCTGTTTACACTAGCTATTAATCCCTTATCATATATATGATTTACTAACATTTTCTCTCATTCTGTGTGCTGCCCTTTCAGTCTTTTGATAATGTCTGTAGACTCACAAAATGTTTTTTTTAAATTTTCATGAAGTTCAATTTCTCTATTTTTTTTTTGGGTTGCTTCTGATTTTGAAGTATTTCAAAGCAGTCATTGCCAAATCCAGTGTTACGGAAATTTTCCTTTACATTTTCACCTAAGAGTTTATTAATATCAGATTTTAGGTTCAAGAATTTGATCCATCTCTCATTAGTTTTGCAGATGATGCTAAAATAAGTTTCCAGTTTCATTTACTTTCGTATTAATACTCAGTTTTCTCAACACATTTTATTAAAAATATTCATGTCCCCAATGAACAGTTTTGGTATCCTCATTAAAAGTCATTTGGTCACATATGAGATGGTTTTCTGGACTCTGTAATCTCTTTCATTGTTCAGTATGTCTGTCTTTATGTCAGGTCCACAGTGATCTTAGTATGATGATTTTGCAGTATCTTTTGAAATCAGAACGTGAAAACCCCTTAAGTTTTTTTCTTCATTTGCTTCATTTTCAAGGCTGTTTCAACAATTTGGGGTTCTTGAACTTCCATTTGAAATTTTAATTTTGAAAAAAAAAATGCCATTAGGATTTTATAGAAATTACATTGACTTTAAATTACTTCGGGTAGTATTTTCATCTTAAAATATTATCTTTAAATTCATGAAAACAAGTTATCTTCACATTATTTATGCCTTAATTTTCTTAAGCAATGTTTTGGAGTTCTCATTGTATACATCTTCCCTTTCCTTGGCTTTTGTTTCTAAATAGTTTGATGCTATTATAAATGGGTTTTAAATTTTCTTTTTAGATTGTTCATTGTTATTTGTAGAAATGGAGCTGATTTTTGCGTGCTAATATTTATCCTGGAACTTTGCTCAGTTCATTAATTAGTTATATCATATTTGTGTGTATATAGTCTTTAACTTTTCTAATATGGAAAATCACATGCACTTAAGATCATGTCATCTATGAAAAGAAATTTTACTTTTTCCTTTATAATTTGGATGTCCTTTCTCTTTCTTATCTAAGTGTTTTAGCTAAAGTATCTAATATTATGTTGAATATAAGGAGCAAAAATGAGTTGGCTACACAAGTTACAATTACAATTATCCTATTGATTGTATGTTAATTTTGAGGAAATAATTTTAAAGAGTTAATTTTTATTCACATTTTGTATCTTCAAACTGTGAGTTAGTTGGACTGTTTATTCTGATATTTCTGAGAAAAGCTATAAAAGTAGTTAAAATAGTAAAAGGTAAATGAGGCATGAAAATCCACAAACTCAGGTAACTGATTATCTTGGTTGCTCAATTTGACAGGACATGGTTTTACAATGAATAGAAAAGTTAAAATTATTTTGATAAATGTTTGACAGAAATTCACAACAGTCTACGAATTTGAAATCTATACATATTTCATCTATTCTCTTCCAGCTTTCAAGGGGAGAATTGTTAACATTCTCTAACTAATTATAACATTATATGGACATAACATAATACAGAAAATCCTGATACAGATTTCAAATCAATCCTAGCTGTAAATATCAAAATCAAAAGTATACATAATCTTTACATAAACCATGCCACTCTCAGATTCTTTCTTGAAATTATTGCTGCCAAGATTTTATATTTGAATATTTGTACCAGAATTAGAGTAGTTTTAGTGTCTTTAAACTTATGAATCTCTTACAAATATGCAACAAATCATGAATATTTTTCTCATTTTACATGAAATTTGAGAATGATTGTCAAATATTTTTTTTCATTTTAGTATTGTGTAAATAAAACCTGCAGGAAAGCTCACTTAGTGGAGTTTAACTGTAATGCCACTGAAAAATGTAAAGGGAATGGGGTAAGTAACTTTTACTTTAGTATTCTTAAATTGCACTTATTGTTCTGGGTAATCTAACAAAAATAACTATCCTATTTGAGAAGGCTGAGGATCTATGCTTCTTTTAAACTAGTCTTGCTTATGTTTAGTTGATTAATACAAAAAAATGAAGTGAGCTAATATAACACTGTTCAATGGATCGCATTACATTTATAACGAATTTATTGTAAGCATCACAAATTATGACTTAGTACCATAATATGTTTAAATTTAAAACACTTATTCTTCTTAAAAGCAAATAAGCACATGTTTTATTTATACTGTGAACATATTTTGTTCTCCCTCTTACCCATTAGTGAAAATGTGTAGCTGTAAAATATTTTACTTTAAAATACTTTAAAAACATGGGAACATGTTAGAAAAATTTTATGTTGTTCTTATTTTATGGAAG